GCTATTGAAGTGCGATCTTCACCTAAACACGCGCCGGGTGCGCCTATGTATGACGACGAACGCGCTACACATGTTGGGTATCACCGCGCATGCCGGAGTGAGAGCAATAATTCTAGGACATCTCTAAACTGATGACCTGTGAGGGCTTTTAAAGTGTCATCTATGGAATTTTTGGGGTACTGAAGTTTGTGGCCGTTTCACGGACACACACAATTTTTAACCTGGGCATGTTGGGTATCTATTTACTCCTTGTAACCTCATCTGTTATATTTTATTTTGAAAAATTGGTATTTTATTGTGTTTTGGGGCATCTACATAAATTTTTCACTAAATTTTGGGGTTTGATGAGGAGTTGCGCTAATATCGTGCAACTGCCACCATTTTATTCTATAGGGTCTTGGCTTTCAGAAAATATATAATGTTTGGGGGTTTTAAGTAATTTTCAGGCCTAAAATGTGGAATATAACATGGGTGCAAAAAATGAAAAAAAGGCCTCAGTCATGAAGGGATTTATGAAAATTAACCCTTGCAGTGGGGCTACCCCACTGTGCTCATTTTGGTGCTTGCTTTGGTTTAGTAATGAAAATAAAGATATAACTCAATTGATCCTCTGTCCTGTCTGACTGCTAGATTAGTCCGCACAGCCTCTTCTCTGGGGGGTAGCACCACTGCAAGGGTTAATTTTTCTAAATCCTGAAGTTCTTTAAAGTTTAACTCCAATGTAATATATTTTTCAGTTTTACCCCCCTATATTAAAACAGAAGTAAAGCCAAACCTTTTTTTGGCTATAGTTCTCTTTTGAGTCACAGGAGTACACTAACTAATGTATTCCTGTTAGGGCTGAAAAGATTATTTTCCCACCATTTATAATATTTTATTTAATATAATTGTAAGCACACAACGCTTGAATAGCTTCAGCCAGGGAATGACAGCTGCCGGTGGCAAGATTCCACAGATGGCAGCTGAATGTAAATACAGTAGGTACTGGGTTGGTGCAAAACCCAGCCTGCTATTGGCCATTTCAAATTAGGATAGCCAATAGCAGGCTAGACAGAGAGATAGCGGATCCAACAAACTAATCGATAAGGAGAATAGTTGGCAACTAATCTCATAATTGATTAACCGAATAGTTTGTTGCAGCCCTAATTCCTGTGACCCAAAGTCCGGTTCAGTTCGATCTGCAAAAATAGTGCTTGCAGCATTTTTTCCCAATCACTCAGGTCTTGGTATAGAGCCGGTGTATAACAGCTGAAGTGTAACAGGCCAGCTTCACATATTAGCAAGAACAGATTTTTCTCTCCCAATACTTCCTCTTTCAATAAAAAAGTCCCCAAGCTTTACGTACCCTCTCCACACAGGTCCTGGTGAGCAGAAGAACACTGTGCCAATGCCTGCAAGTCCAGTCCATTGCAGACACACCCCCTTCCCCATGGATTCATTTTCACACAGACATGGCTCACAGTACTACAGGACTGAGTGGCACTCATTATCAAGTGAGCGGCGCTCAGTCCAGGAGGAATACCTGCCCCCTACCAAGGCAGAAGTGGAAGCTTCCATAACATTATTGGACAGAATAGAAGACTGCAGAAAAAGGTATGTATATTTTTTATGGCTAAAAAAAAAGACCTGAGAGGGGTGGGTGGCGGGGTCTTCATATAGCTGGAGGTCTGCTTTAATCAAGCAATAATATGCTAGAAAAAAAATCATTATTAATTTTCTTTGCACACTATTGAGTATACAAAGTGCTACACTTCATTTACTTTGCTAATTGAACAGTCTCTATTCCTTTAGTAAATCAACAGCAGTGAGTCAATTGACTTTACAGACAATGAATTCCTGTTGGGAGGACAATGATCGGACTGGAAAACAAATGGAGAGGGTGAAAGGGCAGAGATACCACTGTACCCACCCAGATCAAAGATCATTTTATATCTGGAAGCATATTTAGTCAATTATGTAAAGGTTGTAAGTTACAGGTTACATTAATACACCTTGAAGCACACAAAAGAAAACTACATTTCTACTGAAATAAATTGCCAAACATTGAATTCCAGCTTCTTGGAGTTACGGAGCACACAGAAGTTCTAAACCCAATCACTAAAATCTCATAATGATTACCATGTGTCATTTCAATATCCATTTAAAGACTTGTTCACACCATTATCCAGACCAGATCAGGATGCATTACTGCAAATGCGTGTTTTTTTTCATGCAATGACACTTTTTATGTGTTCTGGTGCGTTTGTTTATTGTTCTCAATTGGCTTTGCTAGGGGTTTCCAGTGGGTTCTGGTACATTTACATGCGTTTTTGTACATTCCGGTAAAAAAAATACAGCATGCTGTACTGTTTTACAAAGCTCTGGAACTGAACACAATGGAGTGAACTAGTCTCAGTTAAAACCATTGGAATTACTGTGTATGCATTTTTGGTGCAGATAAAAAACAAACATTCAAGTCTGGATGTGAATCGTGAAAAGTAGAAATCACCAGCACTCAAATGTCGTTGATGTCCATTTAATCGGACCAGTCGTCACTGACAAAACCAACGTTTCGGGGCCGCAAAGGGTCCCTTCATCAGGGTGACAGTGTTACATTGTCACACTAATGAAGGGACCCTGTGCGGCCCCAAAACGTTGGTTTTGTCTGTGACGACTGGTCCGATTAAATGGACATCAACGATGACATGGACATCCGTGATTGTCACTGCGAGCACCACTATTGCTGCTTGGGCCGGGAACGCTGTGAGGAGTGCAGAGGGACTCACCATCTCCTGGATGTGAACAGGCTCTTGAACTTTTTAAATCTACAGCTTTCAATAAAACTATTCTGCCATGAAAGTTCTTGTTCAGGCACTTCCTGTTGCAAGGTGACAACATCCTAGGACACTTGGTTCCAGTGGAGATTACAAGCAGTGCCGTCAGCGCTCATTGTGTACGCATTTTTCCGCCATTGTCTCCATCAAAAGCTGGTCCAGAGCAAAACCATGCAGCTGCATCTGGAGTGCATGTATGTAGGAATGTTGGTGCTTGCACAGATTCATGCATGTACATGTATTTGTCCCATGTAGGCCAGCAGAGGCCAGAGTGTCCATACCAGACACTCCATCCTCAGCACAGCACAATAAGGTCGAGCCTGATATAATCAAAAACTCAGCAATACAGAGCTCTAACTGGACAATGCACCGGTCAAACAAACAGGAAAAGCAGTTGGGCGGTAGACACAGGACTTTTCAGAAGGAGCATATCGCCAGAAAAAGGTCACAAATACTGTACTTTACTGAATTACACCCATGGTTCTATAGCAAACAGAATGTCATTCACTTATGGTTTATAGGGCGAGTCCACTTTCTAGGGCTGCAACTTATGATTATTTTCATAATCGATTAGTTGGCCGATTATTTTTTCAATAAATCGGATTTAAAAAAATTAAATAAAAAAATACCATCCTTCATTTAAAATAAAATGCAGTGTTACAAACAAAAAGTTGCATGCACAATTTTTCTGCAATCGTAATGCACTGGAACGCTCAGCATTGTGGTACCCTGCGTTCCAGTGCGGGCGATCACACTGTGGGTGGGAGACGCGTTAGGGGTGCCATTGACATGAATGGCACTGCAACACACCTCCCGCAGCAGAATTTGTCAGGCCGAAACCGAAAATGACTTTGTTCCCACCATTTATAATTTTTTTCTTGTAATAATTGTATTGTAAGCACAAAACGCTTGAATAGCTTCAGCCAGGGAATGACAGCTGCCAGTGGCAAGATTCCGCAGGCGGCAGCTGAATGTAAATACAGCAGGTAGTGGGCTGGTGCAATAGCCGGCCTGCTATTGGCCATTTCAAATTGCAATAGCCAATAGCCTCCCCTTTTTTGATTGAGACGAAAACTTCTGGGTACGTCTGGTGAGCAGCAGCAGCAGCGGAGGTACGGGGGGGGGATTTTAGAATCACCGGAAGCAGTCTCTTCTCCCCTCTCGTGCCAGCTACAGCGGTCTGTGAAAGGGACACAGACAACTGCAGCCAGCGCCAGCAGGGAGAAAACACTGCGGCCGGTGACTCTGAAATGCCCCTTGTACCTCCGCTGCCAGCAACTAATCGAAAATCAACTAAACGATCATGGGAATAGTTGCTAACTAGTCTCATCATCGATTTTAGATCGCGATTCCGCCCGTGTAATTGAACACGGCGCGTTGTGTGCCGCGCAGATGTAACACCACTGAAATCATTTGGCCGCGTGGCAACTAGCACACGATCCCGGGACACGCATCCCAGGTGTTGCTCAGGTCTGAACCTAGCCTTAAATTCAATGAGGCCAGTTCACACCAGCGCGTTGCATTTAGCTGCACTGAAAAATAGAGCATTGTTTACTTTTTTTAAAGATTACAAAGTGTAAACATCAACAGGGTGCCCACTCTGCAGCGCTGACCTGTGTGACAGCACGCTGTGGAAAGTGCAGCAGGTGGAATTTTTTCTGCATACACCAGTGTTTTGATGTGAACGGGGCACTTAGAAAACAATTGTTGTTGCGCCCTAGTGGTGACCAGCTGCTGAAAAATGTCAGTCACTGCTACTGGTGTGCACAGATCCCGACACGGTAGCCAAATAAGCTAGCAGCCTGTGGAAGGAAAAGCGGAGGAGGACACCCAGCAATTGTAGGGGGGATATACAAACTCCATGCAGATAGTTTCCTGGTTGAGATATGAACGGAGAACTCCAGTGCTGCCCTGTGTATACACATATAATGCAGAAAGGAAACAATGCACATCAGCTAATGATACACTGGACCAGGAATAGATTACGGAGAGTAGAATAAGCACAGGGCCCATTGGCCATGGATGAAGCATAGGGCCCATTGGCCATGGATGAAGCACAGGGCCCATAATCCGCTGCCTTCCATATGTACATCGTCTTGTCATCGCTTACATAAATCAGCCTACCCAGCAGAATCAGCACCAGAACCCCTCCCCCACCACAGAGAAGGCTCAGCCCGGGTCACCTACCAGCTCGGCTCCGCTCTCTCCCCCTCCGCGGCCTCACTTCCCTCCAGGACAACAGCGCCCGACCGGAGTCCAGGGTCACCTCACAGCTGTGACTTTTCACGGACAGCACCGAGCACAGCACCGGTGGAGCGGACGGCTGTACAGGCTCCATTGTATCGCTGGGACAGCGTCTGTAGGAGGTGTCATACCCCGCCGGTGCTCGGCCCCCCTACAGACATCACTCACATGGCCCCCTCCTGCTCAGCTAGCGGTCCGCGACTTCCATTGTCTGCTCGGGCAGCTTCGGAAACCCCGCCTACTGCGTCACCCCGTATGCAAATGAGCGACGAAGTAGGCCGAACCTCTCAGAGAGAGCGAGCGATATAGAAAGTTCAATGGGATAGGGAAGTGGGTAGAGAGAGCTGTGTGGGCAAGGAGGGGGGATACCAAGAGTGCAGAGGACAAGCTCCCATAAGCTGTGAACTCTTATTATTCACATTGAGTGTAGAAGAGGGAAGCACAGGCATGCTGGGCATCTGAATGCTCACATTAGTCCAGCCTGAGGGGACAGATATTTCTTCACATGTACAGACTGCTTGCTGGGAGGGATCCTTTTCAACGCTGCTGGCATCTGATTCTGTGATACCGATTTGTAAAGTATATCTAGAGGCAAAACGTTTTTTCCTTATGGATAGAATAGGAACGGGTTAAAAACACTTGTTTTTGCTTCATTAGTAGGGATGAGCTCTGGTTTGGTGTGAGCTTGAGTTCATCTGAACTGGAAGGAAGCTGTCAGCTGGGGTATTCCCCATCATGCAGCTGCATGTAAACAAAGGGGCGGGATGCTGGTGACATAATTGACATATGGCAATATTTGGATCATACATTGACCAAATATGTCACCAGCATTCCGCCCCTTTGTTAACACATAGCTGTAGGGCAAGGAATGCCCCAGCCCGAGCTGATTGGGGTGGCACTGGCAGCTTCCTTCCAGGTTCAGACAAACTATAGTTCACACGAAACCAGAGCTCATCCCTACCCATTAGAGCAGGGGTGGGCAACTCCCATCCTCCAGCTGTTGTGGAACTAAAAGTCCCATGAGGCATTGGAACACTGATAGTTACACCTGTGACTCCCAGGGACATTGTGGGGTTTGTAGTAAAAGCACAGCTGGAAAGTCGGAGTTGCCCACCCCTGCATTATAGAGATGACCCTTTATTCCCTGTCCCATAGACTCCACAGGAAGCCAGAGGACATCTTTCCAATGCACAAAACACATCAATAAAAACCTGGCAGTAGTTCTAACCCCTCGCCATTCTATTCAAATATAAAAAAGTTGCTGTTCTGGTTGAATGAGATAATTAGGTAATTATAACAACTTCATAAACTAATAAGGAAAGAAAAGATTTGTATAACAAATGTACTTCATAACCTCCTGTTCTATCTCACTGATATTTATTGCTAGCAGTGATGTTGCCATAGCAGACGATGATGATTTCATCTGAAAATAACCTTCCAGTATAACTAAAGGCAATACTTTTTTTAGTTTTGGATAGAATGAAGAGGGATTAGAACCCATGGTAGGTTTTTATTGTTGCCTGTGTCCCCATTATGAAGATTTACCCCTCTATTTGTCCTTGTGACCATTATTACTGAAAATGAAAGGAAATTTCAAAGTTTGGGTTGTCACCAGAACAGGAATACATGGGGACTCTTCCAATAGGGACACTAGTTCTGGTGACAACAGGGATTTTCCTCTCTGGAGGGATTTCATCTGACTTCCTGTTGTGGCTATTGGACAGGAAGTAAAGATAAATCTCCACAGTGGGTCACAGGTAACAACAAACAACTTTTTTTAACCCTTCCTTACTTCAAAGTGTTATTAAAATGCCTCTTGTCAGGGGCGTAACTAGAAATCACAGGGCCCCATAGCAACATTTTGTATGGGGCCCCTTTGATCTCTAGTTATACCCCTTCGCCGGGCTCCACCTCCTCCTCTGATGCCAACCTCGGGCCCCGCCTCCTCCTCCACTGCCGGGTGCAGCCTGCTCCACCACCGCTGCCGGCTCTCACTGACTCAGCAGCGGCTGTGGAGAGGAACGTGCCACTGCACAGATCACTGTCAGTGATCTGAACAGCGGCACATTCCTCTTCACAGCCGCCTGTGACAGCCAGCAGCGTGAGATGCCATAGCGACCCATGCGGCCCGCAGGGCGTCAGGAATGTCCTGGCCGGGCCCCCCTGTGCCCTGGGCCCCATAGCGGCCGCCTGGGTCGCTATGGTGATTGTTACGCCACGGCCTATAGTGTTACGGACCTCAGCACTTATGAGGGCTGCTGTGTCTTTTTCTTTCAAAGCCTGTAGATGCATTGTACTGTATTCCATCTGTCAAAAAGGACACGCCACCAGTTCCTGCTTTAGGCCCCGTTCACATATAGCGACATACCTTTTGCAGCGGATCCGCACGGCCGGGATAGCGCGACTTTCGGGGCGAAGTTCCAGCGACTATCCAGCGACGGTAGCGCGACCTTCCCCGTCGGGCTCCATAGAAAAAAAGTAAAATCGCGCAAAATCCGCCGAAAAAAGGGTCCGGTAGAAGCGACTTGCGACCGCGACGAGCGACATGGAGTTAAGACAGCTCCATTGAATAACATTGGCCGGCGACTTCTCGCGATATCGCGCGGCGGAAATCGCGCGACAATTCGCTATATGTGAACGGGGCCTAAGGGTGGCTCCAGCCTCTAGCAGGGTTCTATGGAGCCACCTCTGCATGAGTGCTACTAGCTGGCACTACAGCCCAGTGTCGGCGTACACATACATAGAGTACAACAAGCCTAAAGCAGCAGGTTACTCCCATGCTCCTCCCGCCTTCTAGCAGGTTGAATGACAGCAGCCTGAGCCTGCACTATCCACTGTTTACTGCTCAGTGTGTGCGCATTCTCTACCCCGAAAGTTCGTGAAGCGGTGAAGAGCACTGTGAAACCAGCGGTGGTGAGCACTGTGAAACCAGCGGTGGTGAGCACTGTGAAACCAGCGGTGGTGAGCACTGTGAAACCAGCGGTGGTGAGCACTGTGAAACCAGCGGTGGTGAACAGATCAAAAAGTAAGGGTTAAGTAAAAAATATTCAATAAACAATGTACAGCGGAATGATTCACGCATTAAACAGAGTTGAATAATTAACAAAAAAATGGAATAGTTTAATGCTACTTTAACACTAAAACAATATTTGCTTTGCATACACAAGTGGTTTTTTATACATTTGCATATGAAATAGGTACGCCAATCAGGAAGCCGGATGGTGTGTAATGACTCACTGCCCAGGTTATCCTGATTGGTCGGGAACCTGGCCAATCAGGAAGCCTGCTGGCGAGTTATTACCTTCCCCCTGGCTTCCTGATATGCCAGAAAGCCAGCTCCATGCTTCCTCATCACCTGGTGATGAGGAAGCATGGCGCTGGCTTGCCGGCCAATTAAAGGGGTTCAAAACCCTCCGTTTCTTTTGCCTATATCTCCTGCTAGCTAGCAGGAGATATAGGCAAAAAGTTTTTTGTTTTTTTTAAACCCGCCTTAACAGCAGTTTACACTTACCTTGTTGTCGATGCGCGCTCCCGTCCGAGAATCCGAAACTGCTGGGGCGGCCGCAAAGCATCTTGGGGCGGGCGCATGCGCAGTTCGGATTTTTGGCCGGGAGATGAGCAGAGGTGCAAGGTAAGTCTATTGACGCATGCACCCGCATGCAGACACCGCTGGATCAGAAGTGCTAGCAAGGACAGAGGAGTCAGCGCTGGATCGGAGAGCCGCCGCACCGCTGGAGGGACAGATGAAAACATCAGAAAAGAAGAAGAAGATTTAATTAAGAAACATAATTTAAGGTAAGTGCTGACATTAACATTGGGGGAGGGAAAATTTTTTGACTTTAATGTCACTTTAAGGAAGCCGGGCGTGTAATGGTCGGGAAGCCGGCCAATCAGAAAGCCGGACGGCAAGTCATTAAACGCCGCCCAGTGGCGTCACGAGGGGGTGCGGGTGCCACCATTGGATGGGTGACACCAAAATGACTGGCAGTCATTTTGATGTCACCCCCTATGAAAAGTCAATGAAAAGACAGTGTCAGGAGAGAGGAGGGGACCCGGCGGCATACCTCATCCCGCTGGGTGAACGTCCCTCCTCTCTCTGCTCATCTTGGTCCACCACCAAGATGACCACCGGCAGGCGTTAATAAGATGACCACACATGTGCGACGACGACATCGTGGGGTGTCACCCCTTCTCCGCTCCAGGTGTCGCCCGGCCACGGGACGCTCCTGACGCCGCTCAGCTTCCCAGCTAATCAGGAATTTAATGGGACTTGCAGTATTCGGTATCGGTGAGTACCGCAAAAAAAAAGAAGATCAGTACTCGTACTCAATACCGAAAAACCAATATCTGTGCATCCCTAATATGAAACAATACACAAATCAATAAAAATGTGGAACAGCGACCAAGTAAAAATGGGAAATTGGTAATCATAAATAACCTTCAGGGGGTTATAGTAATTACCCACATATGTGTATGCTGAAAATATACCATAGAATCTGTTTATGATTGATGAGCAAATTAATATAGAAGTGAGGTGACTATACAAACCAGATCAGGTGACTGATTTCATTGTTTTGGGAGAATGAAAGATAACATCTGATTGGTTGCTATGCAGTTTAATTAATACGCTGACAGTGCTATTATTCTGCTATAATAATCTGCTGAGCTATTTTCACTTTCTATTAATAATAAAACTAAAACAGTACCAATAATAATATGCAGAATGTTACATGCATTGTATTTTTCATGGCTTTTCATGAATAAATATGTAAAAACGGATAAGGCATGTATTTTTATGGAAGCTTTCTATTCTAGTTGTATAATAAATAGGCCTTTGTAAGCAGATTTTTTTTTTCCAGGATGTAAACCCTTGCCATGACCGAAGGATAAGTATCTCCACGTCATATGTTGGTGCTTCTTACAGAAAAGAATTCTGAGAAAATAGATGCTAATCCTTTTGTTTTATTGTGCAAGTTACAAAGTTTCCGCTAGATGTGCATGAAATGTTAAGTACATAGTATTTCCTTTGACAAGGGCACAGTCATCAAGTTTTCAGTTACACATTATTAAACAAGTTCTTGCATGCTTACTTCACCTCAGTCTTTCTTCCACTGGCATAAATAATAATATGTTTGAGTGTGAACAGTTCATAGCATGCATATTTAAAGATAACCTATAGTGTTATTAAGTTAAAAGGAACTGGCTGGATTGAAATGTACGGCTTTTAGTAGAGGATTAATATGACACATCTCCTGTGAGCGCTCACAGCAC